GGTTGAGTTCGGTCGAAATACCCAGTACTTAGTCGGCTTCAAGTTCGTTTCTTTTTTTAGAACTCTAAAAGAAAATGTCAGGTCATTGCAAGTTCTTCTGTAAAGGAGACTATGTAGGGAGAAAGCCTTCAACCTACTATTGTAGCTGGGCATGAACAAGGCTCTTGGAGAAACTCTGTGAAATAGAAGCCTGGTAAATGTATCTTGGACTTTCTCCACTTTTCTTATTTCTTTTTTCAAACTAAGGCCCCAGACCTGCGAGAGCAATATTCGAGGTGAGGTAGAACATATGCTTTGTACAGTACAATCATCACTTTAGCGTTTCTAATGTGCGTGCCTCTAAAGAGCGTAAAAAGTGCCCTATAAGCATTCTTAACCGCCTTATCAATATGATTAGAGAACTTCAACTTGGAATCAACTAAGACTCCAAGATCTCTGACCGTATCGACACTTTTCAACGGTATTTTACTCTTATAACTTGGGTGACCCAAGTAACCCATACGCAATAGCATACATTTATCTGTGTTCAGTGTCAAGTTATTGCTTCTGGCTCAATCAAAAATAAAATCAATGGCATTTTTCAACTCATTATGCACATCAGATAAAGTTGCTTGACTGTAACTACCGTATATTTTGATGTCATCAGCATAAAGCTGGATTTTTACTTTACTAAAGCATTTGAAGGATGGAATCAGGTCCATTGTGTAAATCAAGAACAATAATGGGGATAAAACACCTTCCTGTGGTACCCCACTAGTACATGGGTACCTGTCAGAGAAGCTATTTCCCACCTTCACCTTCATATGTCTCATTTCCAGATAAGATCCAAACCATTTCCAGAGATTTCCACTGATGCCCAGCGCTTCCAATTTAGATAGAAGTATAGAGTGAGCAATTTTATCGAAAGCTTTGGAGAGGTCAAGATAAACGAATCGATCGAAAGCCCTGCATTCAATTCCTTAGGCTGCGTTCATACTGATTCCTATGTTCTGGAACTGTTCCCGCACAGTTCTCGCACTGTGCTGAAACTGTGCGGGAACTGTGCGGGAACTGTGCGGGAACTGTGCGGGAACAGTTCCAGAACTGTGCTGCATGCGCTGCAGCCGCCCCGCACCGTTTTGAACGGCGGGAGTGGAGAATTTTGACCGTTCTCAACAGTTTTTCTTCCAGATTTCGCTCATTTTGGCCTTAATCCTCCACCCGCTTCCCTTTTTGATCAGCAGAACTGCGAACTCGAAGCGGAATTGAAGAATGAGCGCTTTCCTGCGCCGTGTATTCGGAAAGATGGGCTATCGTGCGATTCATTCTGTCTTCTTGTTTTTTGCTCGAAAACTCCTTCATTTGTTCCAGGAAGCGGCTGCCCAGTTTCCATAGCCATCTGCCACGAATTAGGGAGTGAGAGAAATCCTGAAATTGCATGAGTTGGGACTTGTCTCTTGTTTTTCATGATTTTGGGCGTTCTTAGCCTTGTTCGTTTTTCCATGTCGTTGCTTCTCCGTTCTTTCCTCTACCCCGCTTCTCCTAGTGATGAGAAAAGCTGTGAATTTGAAGCGTGGTTGAGGATTGAGCGCTATTCTGCTCCATGTATCCGGGAATATGGGCCTTCGTGCGCTCGTCCATTCTCTCATCGCTATTTTTGTTCAGACCTACTTCATGTGTTCTAGAGACTTGTCTATTTTAATTTCAATACAGATGCGAGACTACGCAGCGACTTGTTAGTACACATGATTAGGTCTGAACAAAAATTGCGATGAGAGAATGGACGAGCGCACGAAGGCTCATATTCCCGGATACATGGAGCAGAACAGCGTTCAATCCTCAACCCCGCTTCAAGTTTACAGCTTTTCTCATCACAAGGAGAAGCGGAGTAGAAGAGAGAACGAAGAAGCAACGATATGGAAAAACGAAAGAGGCTGGGAACGCCCAAAATCATCAAAAGCAAGAGACAAGTCCCAATTCATGCAATTTCAGAATTGCTCCTACTCCCTAATTCGTGGCAGATGGCTGTGGAAACTACGCAGCGGCTTCCTGGAACAAATGAAGTAGTTTTGAGCAAGAATCGCGAGCAAAAATCAAAACCAAAATCAAGAGAGAATGGACGAACACAAGAACACTCATTTTGTCGCATACGGAAAGCAGAAATGTGCTCATTCTTCTACCCCGCTTCGAGCTTCGAAGTTCGGCAGATCAAAAATGGAAGCGGGGTGGAAGAGTGAGGCCAAAATGAGAGAAATCTGGAAGAAAAACCGTTGAGAACGGTTAAAATTCTCCAACTCTTGCCGTTCAAAACGGTGCGGGGCGGCTGCAGCGCATGCAGCACAGTTCTGGAACTGTTCCCGCACAGTTCCCGCACAGTTCCCGCACAGTTTCAGCACAGTGCGAGAACTGTGCGGGAACAGTTCCAGAACATAGGAATCAGTATGAACGCAGCCTTAGTCAATCATGTAAGCAATCAATAAGATTTGTTGCTGTAGAACAACCCGCCAGAAATCCGTGCTGTTCTAACGACAGGGGATTGGTCTTATTGATCCAAGAGAAAATTTTGTCTTTTATCAATTTTTCCATGACCTTCACTGGAGTGGGAGTCAAGCTAATGGGTCTAAACTCAGAAATAAGCTGCGCGTTGGAAATCTCTGGAATTGGTACTACGATTGCCTCTTTCCATAAATCAGGAACTTGACCCGTAAGCATAGAAATGTTGAAAATGTGGCTCAATGGTTTGCATAGTGAAGAAGCACAATGTCTATAAACCATTGGAGGGATACCAACTTAAGGGATAGGCGTAGATGGCTTCAGATGCTTCAGCATATATCGTATGGCATTAGGTACAAAAAAGATTTCGGTACATTTGAGTTTGTAAGACTGCTCAGTATGTGATGTTCTATACAAAGCATGATATTGATTAAATACACTTGCAAAATATCTTGCTAAATTTTCAGCCTTTTCTTCGTCCGTGCTAAACAATGTGTCTTGCGAGTCCTTGAAAACAGGAATGGCTGGCTGGGGTTTGGTTTTGCGACGAATATATTCAAATAGATGTTTGAGATTAAGACAAACGGCTAATCTCTTTTCTTTATTAGCAAGATATTTCTTTGAGTGGTGATCAACAGAGCAAACTTTTTTGTACAGAACACTATTCAAGGGATTGCTAAAAGATTCGGAGATACGGTTTTTTTGAGCAAACAACCTTTTGAGATAAGCTGGGTAATTTATCTCAGAAAAAGTCACAACGTTTGAAGGGAACAAACAATGCAAGAGCAGAATTACCTCACTACAAAATCTACGATAAACATCGGAAATAGAGCGATATCCATTAAATACGCGAAACCAATCAATATTACTCAGGAAAGAATTTAGTGCAAGATAATCAACGTGAGAATAATCAGGCAAAGGAAAGATTTGTTGAGTCTCTGTTTTTGGCAAACAAAAAATTTGACAACATTATGATCGGAATTGGAGGGAGGTGGTAGAATTAACAGGTCAAAAATGTTCCCAAAGGACAAGAATATGAGATCCAAGACAGCTTCTTTGCAAGTGGGAAACGCCATGAATTGCATGAAATTGCTAGAATCAAACATGTTCATAAAATTCTTAGATACTGCATTTAGAGGAGTTTTTGCAGTCCAGTCAATCTGCAGGTCAAAGTCTCCTAATAAAATTGTTGCATAACTAGTAGCGATCAATTCAGTCAACTGATTTATTAGTAATTCGTCCTCAGCATGAATTGAATTAGGAGGGCGATACACACTAATAAACCCAATTACGTTACATTGAGAAATAACTTCAACGATAATGATGTCTGCATGCGATTCAATATTGTGTTTAATTTCACGAGCTATAATAGAAGACCTTTTTAGACAGCAGATTCTTCCGCCTTTTTTCTTTTTCCTATCAACTCTCAACAAATAGTATGGCAAACTTCCTATAATCTTGCTATCTTCTAGCTTCGTAGTCAACCAAGTCTCAGTAATGAAAAATAAATCAGGTTTCTCTTGATTCAAGAAAACATGTAATTGATTGACTTTCTTGACAAGGCTTCGAGCATTGATGAGAAAACATTTCAATTTAAGATTTGGATATCCAGTATTCCATGCAATTCTAGAAGTTTCCCTGAGAGGTGCGTTAGGGCAGCTCCGAAATCCTTTTCAATTCACCCCGGAAGACTACCCACTCCCTTACTGGTTTGCCACTATTCCGCTTCCTGGCTATTTGACGAAGCTCGAATTCCCTTTTTCTTTCTTCAAGGGTCATGCTTCACCTAATAAAAACCTGGGAATACTGGCTCGTTCGAAGCAAACGAGCATTGGCTAATGCGGTCTTTCAACAACTTTTTGAAGGAAGGACCACTTTAACCAGTCGGGGGCGGGGTCCGCCTGGTCTCCCCATACGTAGTAACCTTTCCGGCCTACACTCTACTTTGACGATATCAAGAATCTTTGACACCTTCTGCTCGAGTCTACTTGGCGTTCAGATGGAGGAGTATCCTCATCTGATTCTTCCAGCCCACTGATGACGATGCTTCTGCCTCGAGGTTCTGATTCGATGCAGCTACTGACAAAATCATCTGAGATCTTTTTCGAAGGAGGAGAAGTAATTTCTCCACGGTTGGATCCTTGTTTAGGGCCGTAATAGATCTCAGCAAATTTTCAGGAGACATTGCATCAAAGTCAGAATCATTAAGGCCAGCAGCATCAGGAATAATTTGAGTTTGAACCCCAGAAGATTGCGTGCTGGAAGATCTGCCCCTAGCAACCTTTGGAGCCATGCTCTACAAATATGGATGAATCATTACTTGACGAGTTTTGATTTCAAGCACTGATAAAATAACACCATGCGACAACGGCCATCTAAGTAAATCAGAAGATTTTGATATGTACCAACATCTGCCAAAATTTGAGCATCCAACCGATTTTTTTCGTTTGAGTAAATTGAATTTATTTTCTGATGTCCCATTACTATTGAACCAATTCAATAGTTTGGTAATGTTAATGTTTTTTCAGGTACTTTCTAGACAAAACATGGAGGAAGTAATTGAATTTGCTTACAAGCACCATCTTTTTTTGATGGTCGATGAAGTTTATCAAGTTAGAAAAGAACTCTAAAGCTTGGAGTAAATGAAGGACATTTACCTACTGTATCTCTAGGACAACATCTATGCCGATGGCGTTAAATGGCAGTCGTTCAAAAGGGTTATCAACGAGATGGGAGCGCCATACAACAAGTAAGTCAAAAACTAAATACCCCAAAATCCGCCGGTAAGTCCGGACTTATCTGCAAAAAAGCGGACTTATATGCGGGACTTTTGGCGGCGCGAGGGTGCATTTCCATAGAAAAAACGGACTTATGTGATGGATGACTTATCTGAGAGGCGGACGTATTGTAGGGATTTTAGGGTACTTGCATTGATCACTGATTTGTGGTTTTGCAGATTAACATTTTTTCCCCTTTCAGTGAGGATTGCAATGTTAAAGGCAGCGTCCAGGCAGACCTGGACATATGGGGATTTTACGTGGAAAGTACTTTTGAGGCCCTAACTAAGGCACTGCCCAAGCGGCAGCGCAGGTAGTGCTCGAACGGCTGAGATATTCCCCTCGAAACTGGACCCAGCGATCGTATTCGCATGGATTCATGGCGCTTTGCGCCATGAATCCATGCGAAATACGATCGCGAGGTCCAGTTTCGAAGGGAATATCTCAACCGTTAGAGCACTACCTGAGCTGCCGGTTGGGCAGTGGCTTAGTTAGGGCCCCAAAATTACTATCCACGTGAGAGCCCCATGTGTCCAGACTTGCCTGAACGCTGCCTTTAATAAAACTATTCCTGCTAGAGAATCGTGTGCATAGACGACGTAAAATCTATTTGCCCGCGCCTAACATTGAACACCAATGTGCGGGGCGGCTGGGAACGTTAGGCGAATCTTTAGCGTCTGTAAATCTCCATGCACAAAAGTGCAGTTTTGCAACCCGAGGCTGGAGAGCGGAGCGTTAGGCTTTGCAGCGGAGAGATACAGCTGCAGAGCAAATAGTTCCTCCTCGTGGCAAAGAACACACCATCCTACTCCGAAAGGGCTTGGTTTTTTAAGTGTAGGTCGCAGTCCTCGCATAATTTGGTAATTTTAATTATGTCCAGGGTCGAGTGTATCAGGCCTGCCGACCTGCTCAGACAATCGCCGGGGCAGGCGGGCACCGGAAAAATAGATGGCTGATTTCTTGTACCCCGCTTGCGAATTTTTTGGAAAGCAATCAAGACTTTTCGGAAGGCCGCCTGCTGAGTTCTCGATGCCTCAGAGATTCAGCAATATATCTGCAAAAGATAAGAGCGAAAAATTTTTTTACATTCGGTCTCTCAAAAACTCGCTGACCATTTTCCTGAAATTTGAGCGGAATGCGAAATTTCAGCAACGCGTATTTTCCGGCGCCCGCCTGCCCCGGCGATTGTCTAAGGGGGGGGGGGGTCGTATTGGGGGTAAGAGTGAGGGGAGGGAGGTCGTCGCAGGAACGAATTTGTTTAAAAAATTGAGGGGATACTACGATCGAGTACGGTGAAAGAGAAAACGTTAGATTGCTGATTATCACAAGTTCGGCAAAAATGGAGGAATGATTATCGTGAACAGCATACTGATTGACTCCACTGTCGAAGTCTTAGTCAAATTTCAATTCTTTATCTCTTACACACCGTGAAATCATCAAAGAAGCCTGCTGTACAAATTGTGTATGATTTCCGTAACCAGCATGTCAAACTACCTTTACGAGATCTAGAAGCCATTAGTTATTACATTTTTTATGGTTTCCATACGTCCAAAAAACGTGATTCTCAAGCGTGATTAACTTAGTCTCAAAAGTAAAAAAAGTTAGCTTTTTTATACTCACAATAAAGTAGTACTATATGTCAGTGTAGGCTCAAATTAGACTTTGTACCGCTTCCAATTAATAGATTAAGAAGTGGTGCGAAAATTTCAACCACCGCGCTTTCCACATTGAGGGCTTCAACTCCCAGGTCACGACAAAGCTACAAGTCGAGGTAGGCTCAAACACGCACTGTAGAATATGTGTGTTTGTGCTAGCGAATCACGTAAAACCCGGATAAAAAAGCTTCTTCGGAGATGAAGTTAATGGAGTCAAGCACAACCCCTCAAAAGGCCAGGCTGCCTGAGCTTTTGTAGCCTTGCCCTCTCCCATTACTTTTTTGAAATATGGAAATCTCTCCTTTCTGGTAGAATGTTGAGCTCACAGCTTCTTCTTGCCACAGCGAAAATTTGGAATCAAACAGGTCATTACGGAAAATATGGCTCTTTTAATAGGCCCATTCCTAAGGCCCCGCACAGACTTCACGCGATTTGATCGTCGCGACTCAATCGCCGACATTTCCATTCATTTTCATTTCACATTCAAAAATTTCGGGCTGGAAAAGTATCACAACCGAAATGCAAGTTGATCGGCATGGAATGGTGTGTAACAGTTGTATCGTCGCGATTCAGTCGCGACGATCAAATCGCGTGAAGTCTGTCCGGGGTCTAAGACAGAATATATATATTTCATTCATTTGTAGCGTACTTGCATTGTTGAATACAACATGAAGTTTGACGAAAAAACTCTTTAGGGGGATTGAACGGCTATATTCGTAACCTCTCGCTCATGTTGTTGTTCAAGCACGGCACTTAAAGCAATTAGGTTTTGCGTAACCTGTGCAATTGTAGGATGGAGCTTGCGTCTTTTCACTCATCGTCAAAGGGATATATGGGAGAATGCGGAGTGCGTGGAGGATATGTTGAGTTCTTCAACCTCGATCCTAAACCCTACTTCCACCTCGAGAAGATGGTTTCTGCCAAAAGTGGCTCGAGCGTCTTGGGTCAGGTACGTCACAATAATGCCTATTTTGTTGTTTCATTTTTGAACGTGATTTCGAGGAAACCTTCCACCATTTTTTCATATAGACCGCAATCGATTGCATGGTATGCCCGCCAAAGCCCGGTGATCCTTCTTATGATCAGTGGTTAAAGGTTCGTGCTATACGTTTCCGTATATCAGTGTTTTAGGAGCTTGATAATATCTCCAATTTTGTCGAGACGCAGACTACTTACATAGTCCAACATTCCAAAAAGCCAACTGGACGTGCTTAACGACTCCAGGCGCCTAGCAGGGTGACCTGCGGTTCCCTTCCTACTTTCCTAACTCTTATGTACTATACTACAGTCGTCTTCACCCCACTAGGCACTCGGTGTTCAAATGAGCGGGTACCAGTTGCAGTAGAACGCAGCAATACCCAGCCCTCTAATAAAGCTTCTGCATTTTTCGTGGTTGTATGCTATTTTGTGTTCTAATAGTGCATACGATTAAGATTTGCGACTCCATGTTGTAGCTATGTTTCATACAGCTATGATTCACTCTCTGACTCTGATTTCAGGTAAGCACGGACAGAGGAATGATTAAGATAGGAATTTAGTTCACATAAGTTTTGGCTCTTTTTAATTTGGACGACTAGAACGGTCAAAAATCTATCATATAGCGAAGAGAGCGAATCAAACTGTTGCCTCTCCTCTGTTTTTGAGCCAAAAGTAGTGTAAATCTATGCGTTGATAGATATTGCGCTCCAATCCCACGCGGTGTCTTTTGAACTATGTGGCGAAAAATGCATCGCCAGATTGTTGAGGCCACAGATTTGGTTGGCCTAGGAGGTTTTCGAAGGTTTTTGACATTCTGAGCACTAAAATGGTACTTTGCCCAATGGCAGAGCCTTCAATTGAGTCGAAATGTTTTCTTTTTGCTTTTTCGTTATACTAGATAACTCAAAATGCGCTTTTTTCGCTTTTTTATTGTTATTACGATTGAATAAGGGTTTCCCTACTGATTTTTACATCGAGAAGGACTTCGTAACTTTTCGCGAAGTCATGGGGGACTTCGTTTCCAAAAAAGCTCCAAACCAATGCGTGCCGGGCCCTGATTACAGCTGTTTTCATGGATGCCGCTCATTCTCGCTCATGCTGCCCATTTCAGCGTAAAGATGTTCAAAAATAAAAGTCAACGTGTATCTGCAGTGATTGAGTAGAAGACATTATGTGCCGAAAAAGGGGGGGGGGTGCTGCGGACATTCAAACCAGCATTTCTACACATACAGGGCTCCTAAATTGCAGAGTCGTTTGCAGCAGCGGTCGCGCGACCGCGTCGCGCCCGTTCATTTTGCCGGTGCCGGCGCCATCTATCGAGGCGGCGCCATTGATGCCCGGGCGCGACGCGGTCGCGCGACCGCTGGTGCAAACGACTCTGCAATTTAGGAGCCCTGTAACTGAAGCTGAAAATCGTGCTAGCTCTTCATAAACGCTGTAGCTATCAGCTGCATATCGTCCTTTACCCAAGGAGAATGATCCGCAGCGGCCATCCCTGCTATGCACGAGGGGAACGATGGGGAGGGGATCACTCCCCCGAGGATCTCTAGTCAGAAACAGGCGAGTCTGCTAATTTTCATTTTATTTAAAGCAGTTTTACGTTAGGATTACAAGATAAAGACAATTTATCATATAATGTGATAGTTACAATATGTTGTACCAGCCTTAATGGATAAAACTATCATGTCAAATAAAAAATGCGCAACTCTCGTGAATGGTCACAAACTTCTACAGATATTCGAAACTGCGATATATGTCCGGATTTCTTTACAAGAAAGAACATGGAAGAGAGAGTTAAAACTGCAAGCTACAGGTCGCTGAGAGGAACCCGGCTCCCGTAGAAAATCTTTCATCAATTTGAACAAAATGCTTTGTAACAATTGATTGAAATCAGAATACTCGCTTCTCCGGCTTGACCTACACCATCGAACCCCTACTCCGTTGTAGGGGATGTCGATCCCCTCCTCCGCGTTGTTGAGTTAAATTCGCGCATACGGGGTTCGAGTAGGGGGGGGGGGGGGGAAGAAATCCCCTCCCCCATTCGAACCCCGTATGCATTGGGGTTCGCTCGATCAATACCTCTGTAACCATTCACACCATCCCCGCTTAGGTGAAGAGGTTATCGCTCCCCTCCCCTCTGTCATGGCGGGGTTCGGCGGAGAGGATCGTTTCCCTGGGGATCCAACTCCCCTCCCCTCCCCAGCGGGGACGTACATGCATACGGGCCTAAAACTCGCCCAGTAGGTGGGATCCTATACGCTAAAATTTCTGTCCATTTCAATCCACTTTTGGCTATGGATATTCTTCTCGCATGTCTTCATTTTCTTCGTCGAGCTGTTGAAATCACATCCTAGTTTTGTGATAGAACGAATCCAGTCTGCAGATCATTAATCCTTCAACTAAACCCAAGCATCGATCTTTCCATTGCTCTTTGGCATCTGAAAATTTCATCAGCGAACTTTTAGTTGCCGCCTACGTTTCGCATCATATTAAATAGTCGGGAAAATCCCTATGTTGAAATAGCTACGTTTCAATGCGCAGTTACATTCTTATTGGTAAATAGTTTCCGCACTTTGTCAAAGCTGTTCCAGACTAATCTACTGCGTCCGAAAATCTCTTTATTGTGGTCACCTGGGTCCTGAGTCAATTGGTGTGAATAAAGGAATCAACGCGTTCTATTAGGCTGTTACATAGGTCTTGTTACACTTCAACTTCTTACGACGATAAGTCGTACAATTCATAAATTAAATAGGGCTCCAGGGTAACATTCGATAGAGCAAAGCAAGCTCTGTGAGGTGGTATGCAAAAGTTCGCACCAACTTTAACACATCGTAATTCTGCCCACGGAATGTGAGTTGCGCAGAAGGCTCAAAGAATTAGAAAAAATTCATATCTTCGATCAAAAAAAATCCTCCGCATCTCAAACTTGTTCACACAGATTGTACACCACATCAGACACTCATACGTATAGTTGCTGTATTTTCTCTTCATATAATCGAAAAAATGAAATTTTTTTTACAAAGACGAAGCTATGCTGTTCTCACTCATGCAATTGTTTACCACAGGCCCTCAGAAGTATTAGGTCGTCCCGAAGTTCTGTCGCACCATTTTCAAAAACTCATAACTCCTGATTTTTCCAACCGATTTGACTGCTTTTATTTTTATGTGAAAGTGCAAGTCATGCTCTTTATAATGACATCTTAGCTGTTTACTACTGTTCATCTATTGCGTATATAGGAGCGGTAGAAAAAAAAATTAGTCAAAATTCGAATTTCTGTGAAGGGTCATAGAAAATCGGAAACATGCAACAAAATCGAAGCAGTCGGTATTATAGGTTCTTTCACCAGCTCTAACAGTGCAAAGTTTGCGCCGATTGAGCGTCTCTAAAAAAAGTTATGATTCCCCTGAAAAATGCCAAAATAAATCAAATTCGCCCTTTTGTATTGCTTGCTCGAAAATCATAACTTTTCATAGGGACGCTCAATCGGCGCAAACTTTGAACTGTTAGAAAGAGCTGGTGAAAGAACCTATAATACCAACTGCTTCGATTTTGTTGCAAGTTCCTGATTTTATGACTCTACACAGAAAATTCGAATTTTCAATAATTTTCTTTACCGCTCCTATCTATGCAGCAGAAGTCCACTAGTAAGCAGATAAGATGTTATTATAAAGTGCATGACTTACTCTTTCATACAAAAATAGAGAAAGTCAAATCGGTTGGAAAAATCAGAAGTTATGAATTTTTGAAGATGGTGCGACAAAACTTTTGGGACGACCTAATAGGGTGTCCCAAAGATAAGTACACACTTTTCAATCGTCAATATCTCTCTTCCCGAAGGGTGTTTTTTGCCACTCAAGTACCATTCTGTAGAGGAGGCTTCAAGTTAGATTTACAGGATCGACCGAATTAGCGATCGCCCTTCTGCTGTAGGATTACGGTAAGAATTTCTAGCATGTGGAACCATTGTGAAATGTGCCATCCGACAAAATTTTTTCAAAAAAAGCTGAAAAATCGTGTACTAAGGTTTTTGCGCACGCTGATTTTACTACATAACTTTTCACGAATGTTTTCAGCTTTTTTAACGGTGTACTCGCATTTCTGACAGATGCTAGGAATCCAATAATTACGGTTTTCCTGGATTAACTTTGGAAAGAAGCATCACAGTAAAGTGGAAATGTCATGTTCGAAATCAGCGGCTTCCATTACCACACTAAAAAAGTTTTTGGCTTCTTTGGTTTTATTCTAAGGCGGAATATCGCTTCCAATGGCCCAAAATCCTTGTCGAAGCTCCTACAGTAATTCTACAGTAATGAAGAGCGATCGGTGATTTACATCCATACTGCAATTCTAATGAAAAGCGATCGGTGATTTACTCCCATATGCAAATCTAAGTTGAAGCCTCTTCTAGTGAACAGTATTTAAATGGCAGAAAAAGACACAATGGGAAGAGAGATATTAACGATTGAAAAGTGTGTACTTACTTTTGGGACATCCTGTATATCCGTAAATTTTCAACTTTTCACAAGCCCTACTTTTCGAAAAATACCGAAATTAGCATTGAACACCCGAGAGAAAAAAACTAAAACCGGTATTTCTCGAAAACTAGGGCTTGTGGAAACCTAAAATTTACGGCTATACTTCTAAGAGCTTCTAGCGTACAAATACATGATTAGAAACAGCCTAGCTTTGTTTTCGTAAAAACAAGAAAACTTTTTTCTCGATTTCTAATGAGGAAGAAATACAGCAACGATAAGTATGAGTGTCTGATGTTATGTGCAATCTGTGTGAACAAGTTTGAGATGCGAAGGTTTTTTTTGAACGAAGATATGAACTCAAATTGTGTCAGTATAATGTAGCCAGCACGAGGTTTGGGCGAAGCGATTTATTACATCACTAGCTGATGGCCCCGGTCTCACCCGAGACTCTTAGTTTAACTAATATGTAAAATATAGGCTCACAGATTCATGCAGAGGCGGGTTGCGAACTTCCCTGATCTTCAGGATAAACTTGTTAAAGCTCCACGTTATAGCGCTGTATTTCGCACTCTCTCTCTCTCTCGTTGAGCTTATCCTTGAAATCAGTGAAGTCGGCAGCGCCTCCACACGAATCTGGAATT